CTAGCTGCAGGTCCGTTATCCCTTATTTGACTTGTCCGTTTATTTGGTGTACCATTAAGTTCACGCTTCTTCAGCTTTTCCAATGTTCGCTTTCTACCTCCACCCCTAGCCCAATAATTTGACATAGCCTGAAAACGAAAATCGACAACACATTCCTAAGTAAACTGCCGACTGTCATTCTGACAATTATCACCTTCAATTTTTCCTTTCTCTCATAGGTAATTTCCATAGACTTCACCAAATTTACACTCCTCTTTTTTCAAGTAGCACTTAATGCCTGTTACGCGGTATTTCATATTTTGTTTTTTTACTTTTAAAGACTTGACTTAATATTGTCCTATTTAAGTAACCTGGCAGTCGATTGCTTTGCCACACAGTGTGAAACCGGTGGCGTTTGTAAATTTTACGAAATTTTTAAACCTGTAACTGACTAACTAAAAACGCGGTTGTTCGATGCGGCTGATCGCGTTTTCAAACAATTATTAATGTTTGAAATTAATTCATAACGGTCATCATAAAATAAACGCACGACTGTCCACATTGTGCGGCCAACCAGCCCCCGTGAAGTAAGTGCAGTGGTGGGAAGCCGGTAGGAAAACGAGGCATGGCCATGGCCGAGAGCTCCACGGCCATAACGGCGACGAAACTAAAGATATGATTTTATCGATGATGAAACTACGTCTAAAAACGCTCGTCGACGATGATGATTTGTTGGCGCGGACTTTGAAGAGCCGCCTGATTGATGGCATGTTGGACTGTGCAAACAGTGCGCAACGGCCGATCGTAAATCGCAAAGCCATAAATGTCTTAACCAGGAGATAAGTCGGCAAATCATTCATTTATGCAAACTCCCGGCATGAGTAATGAGGCCAAACCCGCTTACGGGCATTAATGAATCGGTCGGTCGGTGGCGAACCACAACACAGGCCGCTTAAACAGGGCACACGCAGAGGGGCATCCATTGAACGGTAAGGGACCGTTAATCCGGCAAAGCGATTATCAGCGAATAATAGCCTTAGACCGGCCCATAAAAAGAAAAAGTAAGTACCGCGCCAAGCAGGTGTATCACCCGCTTTGAAATGCACAGTCAATCCGAGATTAGCATACTTTTTGAGATCTTAGTCTTGGAGAACAATCGACACCGGGTCGTCGTCGTTAGACACGTGTCAATGCACTTCCTGAAAACGCTGGACACATAATTGTCCACGTTTTGTTCTAGTGGTCAAGATTCGCCCTCAACAATGCAGGTCTTGCGCGTTTCGTCGCCAATGCTACCTCCCTTGTTAAATCGACCGATTGTTGGATGCATGTCATCCGCATAAAGAAACTGGATGGAATCCGAGTGACCGAGTGATCTCGCAGTTGAATATCGATGGCTTTTATGCAGACCGTATTTCTTGGTCATCGTCGCACGGCTAATAACCGGGCATCGACACCAGCGCAATTACGAGAGGGAAATTAGGCCAGAACTCATTCTACTGCTCCTGAGAGGCTGAGAACTGTACATAGCATAAGATTAATTGCCTCGCTAAGTTACCAACTGTTTCTAAAGAGCTGATATGGTAATAAGCATGCTTGTAATATGAAGTGCCAAAGATTGTGCAAAACAAACGTTTCAATTTTCATGACCGATCAGAGAATTCGGTGTGAGATGCATTCAACAACTTCAGACAGGAAAGCTCCATGCGAAAGGAAAAGAATAAAGGTTCATTTTTTTCACAAGTCCCATTTCTGTCTAAAGTTATTGGACATTTATTTACCAAATACAAAACGCAGTTATACTCCGCACAGAGGATCTATGACAGACTGTACGGACCGTATTAATATTGACGTATGAATTCACCGTGGCAGTACAATGACCGGTGTCCCTAAAAAGGAAAATTCCATTCACCAGGTACCTACAGAAAACAGGATGTCGACCCAATGCCACCCCCACTAGTTAGTCAATAGACCTTGCACTCTGTTCTGATCAAATAACTCACTCTACATCCCAGTCTAAACTTGACTGTAAAACAAGCTTTGTTACCGCTCATGTCTGCTGACTCTGCCCAACAAAAAGGTAAGGTGTACGTGTATCATGCACTTCGGATAAATCATCCCCTGTCATGGTGATGATCCATTCCCCTGTAGAGTTTGTCCTTGTTTTGCAAGCATATGTGATTGTGATGTGTGCTGACTGAAATCATCACCTTAGACGGTTTGCATGAACAGTTTCCAACGAAGGACCAGAAACGACGCTCGAACTGGCGATGGTTTTGATGAATAATGATGGTCAAACGGCAGGACTATTCAACGAATGTCTCTATTCCCTTCCGGAAACAGGTAACTTCAGAAGATGCTTAGACTAAGAAATGTAGGTTGGCACTACTAAACAGACTACCAAGAATAAACTATTTTCCCCTAGCCCATAAGCTTCTTTCGCGAGAACTGAAACACGTCAGACATCGAGCAGTGCATCATATTGTTATTGCACTAGTTATCTACTGTATTTGTACTACGTGGTTTGAAGAGGGACCCGGTTCCGGTTCGATTCGAAAGGTCGGGATTTATTTTAATAAAATTTGTCTGTGCTATACACCCACTGAATATTGTGACGATCAAAGTAAATATCACAGATAATTCAAACGCATGATCACATGTATATTAACTAATAAACAACGAATTAGGAGATGCGGAAGGGACGGAAAGGGCAAAAGAGGAATGACAAGGAGAAGGGGTGAGAAAAAGAATAATGAGAAAAAAATTAAAGATACCACAAAAATCTGAATACACAAAAACTTTAGTATCAAGAGACATCAACAGGTCTAAAATTCATCGAAAGCATCGACATATCCAGTCCAATAGTGGTGCAAGGAGTCTTCCGGT